TGGGTTGCAATTGGACATGCTAGAGCCCCTATGTGGAGGCCCCTAATATTGGCGGAGCACCAATTAAATTCGACTTCCCTAGACCAACCGCACCACCTGGTGCATTAAGACATCCTGGCAGGGATTGACATGGACGGTGAGAACACTCGAATCATTTTTCTCCATTACCGCATGACACGTCATTATATGGGTATTGAGGAAGGAGGTTTTTTGAGTGTTGAACCTGGATGTGTTTGTAATGAGACATCTAGATGTTGTTTCCTGCTTGAAAGCGCGTTCCATCTCTGGCCTCCAGCTGCACAGGCATTATATGTATGTATTCATGTGGACAAATCAGTAGCATTTATACAAAGGGATAGGGGGTGGTATTAGATGTTAGTGTCTTCTTTGATCGCCATTAGAATGGCTGTGATTGGCAGCCTTGTATTTTGTATGTTGTAGTTTTTTAGAATGTTGCTTTTGTGGCCACATTCTCTTTTTTTCTTTTTTTTGTCGGGTCTTCACTCCATGGAGATACATGTACTTTTTTTTCACATAAGATGGATGGATCGAAACCTGTTTGTAATATAGCTTGTCGATTGAACCGCTTGCCCAACAACCAGCTTGCTAAGCTATTCTATAGTTTTGCTTTCGCAACGCCCGTAGAACTAAGAGTTGGAGATTAGCATGTTGTAGCTCTATTGGACGGACTTAATTGTGTTTTCGACTTCGATTTTACCTTTGTGTTATTGTGTTGGCATTCGTTTGAGGTGTTAAAGTTGACTGAATGATCGAATTTTACCGTTTTGAATGTACTGCATTAGGCTTAAGCAATGTATTGAGAATTGAGCTTATTATGCGTAACAAGTGCCCCGTGGACACTTGTAGATATCGCTGTATTACATCTCATTTCGAGCGAGATCTCAAATTTTTACTCTTGTTCGGTCAAATTTGGCTATGGATGTCAATGAAATTCGTAGCTCTCTATTCGTTTTGCTGTGGAGGAAAAAAAAAAAATTGAGGGGGATTCCTTTTTGTATTGTAAGGGCGTTTCCGTAAGTGCACGAGCTTCTTTTAGGCGGCACGACGTTTCTTTAAAGAAGGCTGAAAATTAATAAATTAATTACTCGTTGACCTTCCAACCCAAAAAAAAAAAAATACTCGTTGACCATGACGTCTTGAGGGCCTCGAGCATCAAGAGACCTCGCATTGACGATTGTCCGAAGTGGAAGCGGCGAGGGTAGAATTGTAAATTAGTAGCATGATTTTCGCGTCTTCGGTATTCTATTAATTGACAGTGATTGGGCAAAGTTGTGGTTGACGGAGCAGATGCAGGCCGATGTGCGTCGATTTTCAATGGAAAAATGACATAAATAGTTCATAAAACTTTGATTTAATATTCAATATGGTTTCTAAATTTTTGGTACGTGTTCAAATTAATATCCAGACTATATGAAAATGTTTAATATTGTCGTTTTATTAATTCAAGTTAATGAAATTTGTTGGATTGATTTAGCTTCCAATCTGATACATTTGAATAGTGGACAAAATAAAAAAGTTCTTGGTTTATCCACGTAAGACATTCAATTCAAATCAAGATATAATAATTCACATCATCAAATAATATAGATAATCATTTTTTCCAAATTGATCAAATTAAACAATTGAAATGATCATTAGGGCGCAAATGGTAACCATTTTGCTCCAGAAGTCAAATTCTTGCCAGAAATTGATTTCCGGAATTCTTGCCAGAAATTGATTTTTGGAGGAGAAATCTGTTTGATAAAACATGACTAATTCTGCTTCAGAAATAGATTTCTGGAACATAAATCTATTTTTATTATTTTTATTTTTTTGGGCACCTCAAAAAATAAATTTCACTCAAAGTGGGTGCGCAAAGGTATTCTAAGCCATTTTGTGAAGTTTTGAAATTTTTGATTTTATGATTTTTTTGGGCACCTCAAAAAAAAAAATTTCACTCAAAGTGGGTGCGCAAAGGTATTCTAAGCCATTTTGTGAAGTTTTGAAATTTTTGATTTTTTGATTTTTTTTGGCACCTCAAAAAAATTAAATTTCACTCAAAGTGGGTGCCCAAAGGTATTCTAAGCCGTTTTGTGAAGTTTTGAAATTTTTGATTTTTTGATTTTTTTTGGGCACCTAAAAAAATTAAATTTCAGTTAAAGTGGGTGCCCAAAGGTATTTTACGCCATTTTGTGAAGTTTTGAAATTTTTGATTTTTTTTATATTTTTGGGCATCTCAAAAAAATTAAATTTCACTCAAAGTAGGTGGCCAAAGGTATTCTAAGCCATTTTATGAAGTTTTGAAATTTTTGATTTTTTGATTTTTTTTGGGCACCTCAAAAAAATTAAATTTCACTCAAAGTGGGTGCCAAAGGTATTCTAAGCCATTCTGTGAAGTTTTGAAGTTTTTTATTTTTTTATATTTTTTGAAAAAAATTCACCAAATTTCCTATTTTCCCGAAATCTGACTTTTTTTTATTTTCTGGAAATTTTTATGAATTTTTCTGGAATTTTTCAATTTTTATGCATTTTCTGAAAAAAAAAAAAAAAAATTAGTGAGATCTCAAAATGTGTTGTAAAGGCCACGAAAAAGAGAGAAAAATAGGGAGAATGCATTCTGGAAGAGAGAAGCTACAAAAAGTAGCTTCTCTTTTTCTTGTCCAAAACTCATTCTGGAATAAAAAATGCATTCTGGAATCAAGAATGCATTCTGGAATCAAATATTTTTAACCAACGCATTTTTATTCCAGAATGCAAAAATTGCTCCAGAATGCATTCCGGAAATTTTTTAACAAACGCATTTCTGTTCCGGAATGCATTCTGGAGCATAATTTTTACTCCAGAATGGATTTCATGCGCGCCCTTATATTCCGATTTGAGTTGAATATCTTACATGGATAATTCACGTATAACATTATCTTTTTGTCCACCTTTGAAAGCCAAATAAGCAAATTCCGTTAACTTAAATTAATGGAAGTATAATATTTGATGTTTTAATGTTATTTAGGGATTATATTGAGCATTTACAAAAAGTTTGGAGATTATATTGAACAAATTAAAAGTTTAAGGATGATATTGCATATTGGGCAAATGTTTAAGAACCATATTACAAGCTTAGGGTATGAAATGGTAGTGTTTTCTCAAAAGTTTAAAAACCATGACTAAATTGGCAAAGAAAAATTTAATACATAATTGATATCTATACAATAGATTTAAAACTGATTGGGTTATTTTCCCGTTTTCAATGTGGCTTCAAATTTCGAGGTGAGTTTTAGACATCAAGCCGATGATCGTTGGACCTTTCAAACAGCAGAGGAGTAATAACTCGTCTTTCTTGATAAGCTCGAGACGATTTCAAGGCTTATTTAGTGCATCATTAACCTCAAATAGCTTAGCTACCTTTTGTCTGTCTTGTAGCGAGGTTTCTATGCCTTTGCAGAAAGGAGTCCCACATCGACCAACTGCTATCATTCCCCTTTATTTAATCCTTTGTGGCTAACGTCGCGGCGTCCGCTAACAACTTACACTTTTAATGCGTGATCCCATGATTGGCATCAGAGCTTGGGTTTAGGCTGGGTTTCGGTGCTGGGCGAGTACGCTAAGCCGCTCCAGAAAAGAGTCCCACGTCGCCTCGACACTGTCATTTCCCCGTGTTTGAGGGTGCGTTTTGGTAACTAAACAATGATTGATTTTACTTTTTTGTTTCGAAAATAAAAAAAAAAACAGAAATCCGTTTAATAAATTTTTTTGTTTATGGACACAAATTTGTTCCCAAAATCAATTTTTGAACAGAATCAAGAAGTAAATGGGAACAAGAATCAGAAATAGAAGAGAATTTTTTTTTTCTTTTTCTTCTTTCCTTCTTGGCTAGGGCCGGTTTTTCTTCTTTCCTGGCCTGTGGTCGGTGGTAGGCCGCCGATTGCCGGCCACCGGTCACAGACTAGGGCCAGCGAGGGCGAGGGCGGCGACGAGGTTCCAGCCCTCGCCCTCCCCGGCTAGGGCTGGAAAAGGCCGGCGAGGGCCGCCCTCGCCAGATTCGGCAAGGGCGGCCCTCACCTAGACCGCGAGGGTCCAGCCCTAACCCTTGCCTGTGGTCGGTAAGGGACCTGATGCCCTCGCCGGCGCTGGCTTGTGCCCGGTCGCTGGCCAACCAGCCATGGACGGCGACCCAGCCACGGCCAAGAAGGAGAAGAAGAAAAAAAGAAAAGGAAAAAAAAGAAAAAATATTATTAATAAAAAGAAATTTTGTGTAGTTACCAAACATATTTCTGTTTTTTTTTTTATTTCAGGAATGGAAATTTTGAGCTGTTACCAAACGCCTTCAAATGCTTAGAAATTGTTTCCGGGAACATAATAAAAAAAAATCATTTCTGAGCAGAAATTATTTCCGAAAACAGAATAGTTACCAAATGCATCCTAAGCCTCTGAAGCTACCCTCCGCTAATAACAGAGTTTAGAGACAATATACTTTTTTTTTGTCTTCTAAAAATAATATTTAGAGAATGCTTTGTAATAATATATTTATATGAGGATACTTTTTTTTATGGGATAAATGCATTGAAAGTCCTAAAACTCGTTACAAAAGTGTAATTTAGTTATAAAACTTTCAAAAAATACAATTGAGTCATAAAATTTGTTGCGAAAATTCAATCGAGTCATACAACTTCCAAAAAGTACAATTAACGGAAGGACTTGATTGGACCAATATGACAAGTTTTAGGATTTGATTGTACTTTTTGAAAGTTTTAGGATTCGATCGTATTTTCATGATAAGTTTTAAGATTGATTGTATTTTTTTAATATTTTAGGACTCGATTGTACTTTTGCGATAAATTTTAGGACTTAATTATATTTTTTGAAAGTTTTAGGGTTTAATTGCATTTTCTTAATAAAGTTTAAGCCGCACTTGTACTTTTTTTTATTAAGTATGCTTGATATAATTACCTGACGTTATTCCGTAAGATGACCTCAACTGGTGGAAATTGAAAGAACCAACAAACTCTTCACACGGAACAGGATCATAGCCGTTTTATTTTGGAGACGGGGAGCGCAAGCCATCGGTGTCGGTGGCGAGCGTCTCCTTCATTTCTCGAGAAGATTTCACGGTAGAGAGAGAAAGAAGAGAGAGAGAGAGAGAGAGAGAGAGAGAGAAGAGAGAGAGAGGAGGGCGAGCGAGCGCAGGAGAATCGGCGGCGTTGCTGACGACTCCGGCGGAGGAGGCCACGGCGTGAGCCGCGACACCTCACGCTGCGCTTCCGTTTCTTCCCGATCTCCGAAGCCGCGGCGGATTCGCATTTATGGCGCTCCCGAGGGCCCGTCCACGCTTGAAGGCGTTACCGATTCCGTCTCCGTCTTCGGCTTCTTCTTCCTCCTCCTTCTCCTCCTCCGCCTCCTCCGCCTCCTCGTCGTCGTCACTGTGCTGGCGTTTTCCGCGCTGCCATCTGGTTCCGACCGGAGTTTGAATTTTTTTTTTCCTTTTTCTCCTCCGGTTCGGTTCTGCCTCCCTTTTTTTTTTTTTTAAAATCTTTTAGCCCTGCGCGATCGGGGGAATCAAGACGGAGGAGGTTCGGAAATGGAGAGCGAGAGGAAGCCGTCGGCGGTGTCGGACGCTGGGGCGTGGGCGATGAACGTGATAAGCTCCGTCGGCATCATCATGGCCAACAAGCAGCTCATGTCGGCTGGCGGTTACGCTTTCGGCTTCGGTTAGTTAGACCTCTCAAGTTTTCCATTTGCATGGATGAATGCTCGCACTTCTCTGCTGGAATGCGCTCGCTGATGGATCGGACTCGGAATTTGAATTGCCTCGAGCGCGTTGTGCGTCTTAAAATTCAAACGATCTTCTGATTTTCAGCCGTTCTGAACTTGTAGCATGCTGATGCTCGATGTGTTCTTGAAGTAGTTGCAATCGAATTTGGTAGCTGTACTTGCATTAGAGTGACTGTTACCCTAATTTTGGCCCGCACAGATTGCTTTCGATTTCATCTTCTACTAGCAATTGCAACGAAGTGTGTGTTCGTGTAGTTTAGCACCATAGGAGATTCCGCCTTGTCTGTTGCTTGACTAGTTTTTCACTGGTTGGATGGAGGTTTGTGGTCCTAGCGTGAACGGAATCATCGGTGACTAGGTCGCTCGACTACTTAAAAGGTTTCACTCGGATTTCTGAGTCGGAACAGTAGATTGCAGATTCATCACTAGAATGTCATGTGGATTTCTACAACTAAATATGATCTCTTTTTCCTTATACATGTTTGGTTTCCTTAGATGATTAATGGCTTCCCTATTTTTGACTTTGTATCTTCAACGAATGCAGATATAGTCTTACTTGTGCTCTTACTTTATGTCTATGGTGTATTTGATAATATTTGGATGCCATGTTTTCCAGCAACAACATTGACCGGGTTTCACTTTGCCGTAACTGCATTGGTCGGTCTGGTTTCAAATGCCGCCGGTTATTCTGCATCGAAGGATGTTCCCTTGTGGGAGCTTCTCTGGTTTTCTGTTGTTGCCAATATGTCGATCACGGGGATGAATCTAAGCCTCATGTTGAACTCCGTAGGCTTCTACCAGGCATGGACTTTATCATTAAGCTCTAGCTAAGGCATATCTTGTTTTTGAGATTCTCACCTTTGCTTACTAATGATACAATTCTATTTCCCGCAGATATCAAAATTAAGCATGATTCCGGTAGTATGTGTCATGGAATGGATCCTTCACAATAAGCGCTACTCCAGAGAGGTGAAAATGTCTGTGGTGGTTGTGGTTATTGGTGTGGGTGTTTGCACGGTGACTGATGTGAAAGTCAATGCCAAAGGTTTTATATGTGCATGTTTGGCTGTCCTCTCAACATCTTTGCAGCAAATTGTGAGTATCACTTCACGCTTGATACCTAAATATACCATCAGTCAAGTTGTTTTTTGATTGGTTGGACATTTGTATGCTCACCTATTGTCCATGTAGCAAAATTATGCCTTAATCCATTATTAGCCCTTGCTGCTTCACTGAGCCTTTGCTGCTTCATCTGATGCCATTGTCGTTCCAGTCACATAATTAGAAAAGGAGCTAAGCTCAATTTTGTTCTCTTTGGTTAGAAGGGATTTGTAAATTGTGCAGAGAAGTTGACCTTAGTTGCTATATCACACAACAGATCGTTCCTCAGCTTGCCCTACTTTTTCTTGGGGCAAGCTTTTAATGGTTTGTTCAAGCCCACCTGTAAGTGGACAGTTCATTTTTGTGTCATAGTAGACCCTGACTCTTTGTAATTGCAATATATATATGTTCACCGTCAGATTGTTAGGTGGCCTGGACCTGTAACTTTGGTTGTATTTTGGGTTACTTCAGCTGGCTACTGAGCATAACGTCCTTGCCTTTGAGCTGAGCAGTTCCTAATAATTTAGTGATATATAAAATTTGGACCTGATGTTTACGGTCAGCAACGTCCCCCCCCCCCCCCCCCCCCCCAAAACAAAAAAAACAGGAGAGAGAGAGAAGAAAAGAAAAATCTTGTTCCTCTGCACAAAAATAATAGTGAGGCGTGATTGTGGTTATGATCATTAAATGGGAAATGAGGGCTTCACAAAGTGTTTCAAATTCTTGTTTTATCAATGCTGATTGTCGGTATGACTAAAAGCCACTTTATAATGAAGTATGGTTATTCCCATACCAGCAACGGAATGCAAGTGTTGAAGTGTTTTGCAATGGTAGGACATGAGCCACTAAAAATTGAAAATGTTCTAGAGAAATTCAGGGGTCTATGAAACGCACATTTGGCTTCATGGTGATTGTGATGCTGAGTTGTCGTTGGAATATGAGTCAACTGATCTTGAATATTGAATGAGGTCAAGTAAATGTGTAGCCCCACCAGAAAGTACCCAACAATGTTTCCAGAATTTACACCATTCAGTCGAAGGGGATTACACGTTTGTTTTTATCTTCTGTTGTAGCCTTCGTTGCACTGATTATGTGCTTAGGAGGAATTGATGACGTTAAATGATGTCCAATAATTATTAGCCACTCTCAGATGAGACTTTCTCAATTTTGGTTAGTAGACGAGATAAAGCTTCATTATAAATGTTCTTCCTGTCTTTTTTTGGGTTCCTAATTTTCTTTGACAATAAAATGAAGTCTAGTCAAATTTTTAGGTGCACTAGAATTATCGCCATGAGCTCTTTCAGAATTTTATCCTCCATCTGGTGAATAGGATTGTCCATCCTATGTATTTCTGCGGTAATGTCTATTTGTTGGGGAGAAGATTAGCAGCTTTATCTTCAGTCTTCTCAGCTTTATCTTCAGTCTTCTCCATACATTGACAGCATCTTATGGGTATTGTTGGTTGGGCATGACTCTTGTTGGCTTAGTACTATTGTTCCTCTGGAACGTAAAGAAAGCATTTTGGGGGTGATAACTAAATAATAATATATCTATTCTGTATTGCGCTTATCACACTTTGTTAAGTTCTTCATGAGAAGTTTCTCTCATTTGTTCTGATGCAATGTTCTTGTTGTACAGTCAATAGGTTCCCTACAGAAGAAGTACTCGATTGGATCTTTTGAACTGTTGAGTAAGACGGCTCCAATACAAGCTTTATCGCTCGTTCTCCTTGGCCCATTCGTTGATTACTTTCTCAATGGCAAATCCTTAGCAGACTACAAGATGTCATACGGTGCTCTTGTAATCACTCTTTCCGGCTCACAGCTTCATTGCTATTATTTTATGCAAACCGTTGTACATATTTATAGTTTGTTGCGCAGATTCTCTTTCTTCTAAAATTAGTTTGGACTTTGGACATATGCAGCTCTTCATCATTATATCATGCACGCTGGCAGTCTTCTGCAATGTGAGCCAGTACCTCTGCATCGGCCGCTTCTCTGCAGTTTCCTTCCAGGTTTTGGGTCACATGAAAACAGTATGTGTTCTCACGTTAGGGTGGTTGCTTTTCGACTCTCAGCTTACCCTCAAGAACATCATGGGCATGGTCATAGCAGTCGTCGGCATGGTGATATACAGTTGGGCCGTGGAGGTCGAAAAGCGGTCGAGCGCGAATCCTATAGCTCCTCCTGCCCAGAACAGCACCACAGAAGAGGAAATTGAACTTTTGAAGGAGGCCGCTACGACAAACTTAGCAGCGAAGGATATTGAACTCGGAGAGACTACTAAAGGATGAGTTGACTTTCTTCTTCGTTCATAGCTTTCGGGGGTCTTCCATGTGTATCCCATCTGCTGCTGCCGTTTACATTACACCAATGCGATTAGCTCTCCATATTGGTTGGTTCCTTTTCCCGTCGTCATATCTTGTTGTAAGATCTCCCATCTGCGCACCATGTGCAAGCGACGGATGCTTGGGGCCAAAGGCAGTGATGGAAATTGGAAGTTGGGAACACCACACTAGTTTACGAGATGGTCAAGGTTACTTAAAATAGTGAAAAAATCCATGTCAATGCCCTTTGAAAAATCGAACAAGAACATATTCCAAGAGAGCACTATGCTTTAAATCGAAATTTTTTTGTATTTCCAAAGCATAATTAATAATCCGCAGCAAGTGCTGTGAGGGAAATCTTTGACTTTTCCCATAGAAAAGATTCAAGAGCCCAGCTGATATACAAAAATCAAGTTCTACGATCCAGCAAACGGAGCCCCCGCATTGCAATGTGGAAGGCCTTCTAATCCTTTTACTTATTGGCAGCTGCAAATCTTTTGAATTGAAGACGAGCGGCATCTAAAACAGTATGCTCACTACTCGAAAAGCCTAGCTAGATCTGCGCATGCCCGCTTTAACGAACGACGACGAAGACATGCCTAGACCGCAAAGAGAAATCGATCAGCTTTCCATGCCTCTCGTAACAACAATGGGAACCGGTAAGTGTCCGAGAATGTATGAGCGATTCGATGAATTCATTTCATTGTATCTGTGTGTATACAAATCACGACTTACATTGGATTCTATGCTCACGTCGTGAGCTTTACATGCCGAGCGACGGCCAAAAAGAATCTCTCTCTACAACTTAACGGGGGGAGACGGGGTCGAGCCTTACAAAATCCACAGGCAAGCTCCATCTCTATGAGCGCGGTGAGAAGAATTATGTTCAGGACCCAGAAAAAAGAATGAGATCGAGATTCATCGAGAGTGATAAGGCAAGCGTCTGGCGTTCTTGGCGTCGCCGGCATAATGACTGGTGTGGAACTTGGAGATGAGGTCGGGTAGCTCCATGTAATGCGCGGTGGGGTTGCTGGTCTTGAGGAGGTGGACGAGGTACTGGAACAGGTCAACCTCGCAGGCGATCCGCAGCGCGCCGTCATAGGAGTAGCCAAACTCCTCCTCCGACAGCCGGAGCAGGTTCTCGAACAGCGGGTGGTTCAGGTAGTTGGCCTCCATCTCAAGCTTGCACGGGACGTCCCTCCCCACGTAGACACGGACGCGGCCTTCCGGGACGGCGGCCGCCTCCTCGGCATCGACCGAAGCAAAGCTCTTGGCTCCGCAGCACCACATTTTCTTCACTAGGTTGCTCATGATCGTCTTGATGAATGCACCCTTCTGCTTGTTCTCTCTCTCTCTTTCTCTTGAACTGGTGATGAAGATGATGATGGCTAGGGGCTATGCGGGGGTTATTTATACAGAGGTGTATAAAGAATGGGAAAATACGAGGGGGGTACCGGTCAAACACATCATTATGGCGAAGGTACGGGTCGTATAATTGCATGGATGATATATTATTCCAACTTGAGAGTATTCAAATGCTACGAAAATGGCCGAGAGAGAGAGAGAGAGACAGAGAGGAGGTGAAGCCGCGGGAAAAGTGGGTCGGCTCGTTTTGGCTTTCCAGGAAACTGGGGGAAGAGAAACTCCTGTTGCGGAGTATGCTCCGGAGAACAGCACGTCGTGTAGGTGAAAAGCATTGAAAGAACCAAACGCGGGAAACAAGTTAAAGCTCGCCCATTCTCTCATGTTTGATTGATGTTTCCTGCATGACCACGTCTCTAAAGGATCCTCACTCACAATGCCTCGGGTACGTGCCGAGTAAAACACGGGTCGAGATTTGGAGGTCGCTTGTTCAGATCTTGCCAGATATATGGAATTGCAGATTACACAAGATCAGCCTTCGGAATTCAGACTTCGAGTCGTTTAACTTGAAACCTTCGGAACTTTTTAATATTGATGAACAAGATCAACGTAATGAGAAGAATTCAACCGATGACTGTGATTGTCGATAGACCTAAATTCAGCAGTCTCTAAAGATTCTCAGGGAACCGATCCCCAACCCCTCGATGACCGTTGTATCAAAAAAAGAATAAATCTCATATATCAAGCATAGAACCTTCAGATTTTTGTATTGTACAGTAGTTTTGAAAAAAATTAAGTAGTTACAACTCGATAATTTGTCTACCGATGGACCACAGAATCGCCACCAACCAACAACGTCACTCTAGCTCTCAGCGAAGCTCCGAGCCGAGCCAAGCCGATCCGATATATTAGTTGTGGAAAAGCTGTAGTTATGTATCGATCAGGAGAGGGGGAATATGAACGAAGTACTAATTAATGGAATTTGAGATACGTTAGTGTATATACGTTCCTGTGCAGATTATTCAATAACACATGAAGCTGAGATACGTTCCACAGAGTCTCCCATAAAGTAATGGAATTTGCAGATTATTCAATACCAACTATCTTACATGCATTAACTCATAATTAAACTATACATATACATCATTAGTGTATATATATATATATTATTATCCATCGAACCAAATCAAGATGCAGAAAAGTCAAAAGTCAGTGGGAACTCTGATCTCTGTGTGTGTGTGTGTTGAACAGCAGTACGAAGGAGGAGGCTTGATACGGAAGTCCAGCCAACTAAGAAGCGCGTACAATGCGGACTCCTCCTCCTCCTCCTCATCATCATCAGCACCACCATCATCATCTGCAATTATTAAGGGGTTCAGCGTTGCTCCATTGGCATCGGTGAGAGAAGTACTGAGAAACTGCCATTTCCCAATTTCCTTTTTTTCGATTCTTCCTTGCTATGTTATGGTGGTGCTGCCTTGTCAAAAGGGAGTCATCAACCCATGTGACTCTTTCCTTCGTTCATGTGCGCAAATGTGTCGTTCTTCTCTTCCTATGGGCGAATCATTCGCAGAGCGATACGTTGGATAAGGGGCTGGTTTTGCTTTCCCCGCAAAGTGATTTTTCTATTGATGGGACGATCGTGATTGTCATGGCGCTTCGAGGAATCTTTTGTTACTTAAATTTATCAATCATTGAGGTGGGACTTCGGAGCAGGGCGTTAAAAAATTGCGGAAGCCGTACGAGTGCCGATGAGAACGCGGGACAGACTCAGCTGAGATCCATTGCAGATGGAGAAGAAGGAGAGCCACGATTACTGCTGTATTCGAGTAAGGAATCCATGAAATAATGCCCTCAATAATGCACCGTGCAACTCGTGTCTGAGAAATGACCAAATGCGCGGTGTGCAGGTAAACGAAAGCAACGTAGGAAATGCGACGGAGACACTTAGGTTTATGCCCGATTTCAGAAATCAAGTGAAGCTCGTTCGATGACCCGATGGACTGGCCCGACGTTTCTAATGCACGTCGGAGCGGCTCACGCCATGATCATTCCGAAGACATTAATGCGGGTGTCGCCATTATATGCATGTCGTATACTATAACCTTGTTTTTTGATGATACGTATTAATACGATGCAATGCGTCTGCTTGTGGCTTGAACTTGAGAAGCCGAGATTCAATATGGACTTTGCTATTATAAAAATCTTTGGGCCACTATAAGAGTAACAATATATTACAAGCCACAAATTCTTAAATGGACCCCAGGATAATTTATAATTATTTAAAATTATTTTTTTGTGATTCAGAATATGCTATTTATCTCATAATAAATTAAAAACTTTCACTTAATCATTCCCTTTTCAATATCTGGGGCAGCTTCGGGAGTTTTACGTGCAAACCAATGTGTCGAGCCAAACGGGCTTGATACGAGAGTTGACTTTTCTTTTGGGGTCGGAACCGAGAGTTGACTTTTGGGGGGCCTGAAATAAGGGGTGTCAAAAGTACCCCTCTCAAACATGACCCGACCTGAACCGACCCAATCCAAACAAGGAATTTTCATATTGGGTCGGGTTGGCCTTGACTTGTTTGGGTAACAGTTAAAACAAAACTTAAACTTGTTTTGGATCTACCCGAGCCCGCCCGAAACAAGCCCAGCCGAAACAAACAAGAGCCATTTGTCCTTCTTGTTCCAAGCGCGCTGGAAACCCTATCATCTTCTTCCAAAGCTCCGGACCGAGAAGTCAGTGACGGACGGAAACCTCCTTGCGACGGGAACTTCATCGTCGCCTTCCCTCCTTCCTTCGACCTCCATATCCGAGGCTCTCGCGAGCTTCGAGTTCGCCCGCCGGAGATCCCTCTCCCCGCTTCAATTGCCGGATCTCTCTCGCCGGCGCCTGGGCGGAGCTCGTGATCGCCGACTCCGAGGAACCGCCGCCATGGCTCCGCCGGCTCCGTCGCAGCGGTCGCCGTCGCCGTCCCAGCCTTCCGGGTGAGTCCTCCTTCCCGCCCGATCCCATCGCCCCCGCAGTTCCGCGCCCGATCGACTTCTCTCGGAAGAGGAATAGCCTCAGGCTCTGTTTCTGCGTCGTTCGCTGCGATCTCGAGTGATGATCGCGATTGGGTCGGCCTCGGTGCAATTGGATCTCTAGTGTTGATATGTGTGACCATAATCCGGATGCTTGTGGTACTATTCATGTTTATGTCAGTTTCTGGAGCTTTAGAAGAGAATTGCCCAGTTAGCGAGAGTGAAATTTCTCCTATCTTGGTGATTCCGTCTGGTCTGACGTTTCACTTTTTATGAATGGGAGGATTTAGTTGTCCCAAATGGTTTGTTTCGTGAGTAAATCTGAATCCAGTGACTACGGGAATCTGTAGCCGCCGTGCCTCTTGTTTCATGTAGGTTGGAGGGCATTCTTTCTTGGAGTTGAGCTGTTGAACCAAGGGGCTATTAGAAGGGACTTGTACTGCATGTTGATGTTTAGGGGGATTACATAGTCCTTTTAATAACTCCATAGTGATATATTTGACAGTGTCATCCTAATCCAGTAGTCAAGCCCCACACATGCTTCGTCTGAAATATGCTTCTATATGCAGTGCATCAACAGGGTATTGTTCAGTACGCTCTGTTTTCCATGTTCTGATCCCCTGATTTATCTAAATGCGAATTAACAATTACCGTATTTCCGAGTGGAGCGGAGCATTTTGCCTTCTGTTAATATGGTATATATTGAATTAATTAATGAGGTAGATTACTCTTACAATTGATTCAGGAATGTTTAGCTAACGTGTGATCTTTTACTTAAGTGCATTTTCAACTAGTAATTTCTCTCGTCATTGCACTTGCAGCTGGACTCCGAAACCCAGTTGCTCACTGTTCAGTTTGAATGGAATGGGATTCTCAAATCATTGTGAAGTAGATGTGGACTTTGGTATGATCAAATGCTTGTATATTTAAAAATCATTACCATGTAAAAGGTGGTTTTGTGGAAGTTTTTGTCTCAAGAAAAAGGGACTATGTCGAGTGCATACAAACTCAGTGACACAGCAGGTGCTATTGATGGATTTATTCTATGGTTTAGTTGCTTCAATGGTGGTTTTGATGTCTGGGAGAATTAAGGATGATGGGTAGTATAACACTGGGACAGGGAAATGGCCTCTGGATTTTTTGGTGGAAGATGGTCGGTGATGGGTAATATTTTAGTGGATTAGTTGTTTATGAGTCGGATAAGTAATTGTCAAGTATCCTCTAAAGCCATATTAATAAGTTTTGAATGTGCTTCAAACTTGTGTTTACATGTCAAATTTATATATGCTTCTGTTGCAGGTTTATAAAGCAGTTTTCTTGGTTGATTGTTGTGGTACAGAGATTCTTCATTGTTGCATCGCGGAAACATTACACAGTTGACGTCATTGTTGCATGGTAAAATCCTGTTTTTTTGTTAGTATCTCTCTTCGGCACTACTGATGCATTTTTGGCTGAAGCTCATATTATGTTTAATCTGCAGGTATACTGTCAATTTGGTAGTCTTCTTCATTGACAAGAAATTGCCAGGTTAGCCTGTGTAACCTTTGCATCTGTCGTGTCTTTATAATAACAATGTGCACTTTGGCTGTTTTTCAATCTGTTTCTACCTAACTCCGTAAACATGTTTTTGAACCACAGAGTAGTCCCATTACTGTGTTCTTTTCTTAATTCAACCTGGCATGTTTGTACAATGATGCAGAGGCCTTGTTTAGTCATCTGTCGTTGCATAGTAACAGTTGCGTAGATGATGGTTTCGTTGCATAGTTTTGTTGATAGCACATAGCAATTATTGGGCAATGATGGCTTTTGTTGATTCTAGAATGTTAATTATTTTTGCTGATTGCTAGATGTCTTCGTCGACGAATTCTAGCCATACAAATAGAAGGAAGAGATCCATTATGTGGGATCACTTTAAAAGGCTTCCATGTACAGACAAGAACCAAGAAAAGGCTGAATGTTTATATTGCGGGGTCCACATTGGTTGTTCTAATACTCACTACGACTGTCAACAGAATGCTGGCATCCGGCTAGTGTTAAAGAAGTTGTTCATTTACTTGAGCTGATCTATACAGAATGCTTCACAAATTGTACCGATCAGACTAATCCTAACTGCTGTAGCAGTTTCTGTCGTCTGACTAATTCTTTGCTGATTTCAGATCTTAGGACAATGTTGAAACATCCAATTGAATTCAAATGAAATGTTTGAATAGTTATTTGACTGGACATTAGAGACATTTTCCAGATCACTGGTTTGTCATTTTTTCTCTATTGGGCATGGGTAGATGCGAGAGTGCATGATCATGGGCCTGCTCAAAAGTAGTTCCAGCAATCGCACGATATGGAATTGACCCTACCACACCAGAAAACAAGAAAAGGCACGTAATTCATGCTTTGTGTAAGCCTCTTTCAGATAACTGCTAGGAGAATTGCTGCAGAGGAAGGTTTAAAATCAGAGAGAGAGTCCAGTTCAGTCACTGGGTCAAATTTTGGCAGAAGACAACATGGTCGGAGGAGAGGTTGCTGGGGCTCTGGTGGGCGGTCATCTGCATCGGCCTCGCCTGAATCTCAGACCCTCAATTCCTTCAGTGGATGTGATTCCCTCTTCGAGTCACCAGTTTCATCGAGGCAGGTTTCCCCTGATCTAGATTATACTTGTGGAAGTGCGAACAGGAAGTTATGGAGGTTTGAGAATGGAGGGGTAGATGCGTCTCTGAAGGATGGTTTGTTAGCTCAGTTAGCTCAGTGGATGGGTAGATGGTTTGTCATCATCTGCTTATGTACTTCTTTGTTTGAATAGGCGAACAAGACAACCCAAGTTCTGTTTTTGGGGTGTCCTTCTTAAGAGAAGATGTAGGTGGTCAAGCAAAAATCTAAAACACGAACCCGACCCGAACACAACCCGACCCGATCGCGCAGCTATATCATGTTCGGGTCTTGTTTCGGGTCGGGCCAAGCAAACATATGCATTGTTTCGGGTCGGGTCGGGTATCATGAAAACCCGACCCGACCCGACCCATTGACACCCATCAAGTGATTTGTCCGGCCCGGATGCAAGTGCTCGTGATTTCCTAAACCGTTCAACGATAATACATCAAGTGGGCCCAAGAATCAATGAGCTGAAGTGAAAGGCCCAGCTATTCCTTTTGTTTCGAGAGCTCGTGAAATACCTCACTAACCTCATAGATCAAGTAAAACGCGAGCTTAAGCCCAAACGGGTGACTCAATTATGGAATTATTTGCATTTGGTGATACAGGGAATCGATTTCGTGTTGTGCGCCTGATTCACTTACGTAAGTCATATCCGAGCCTACCAAATCGAACCACGCTCGCACTTTTATTTTCCCTTTCATTGTCCTAAACACCTTTAACATCAATCTCTTTTAACATTGACGATGCATTACTCCAATTGTTTATACATTAGAGTTCTTTTGTAAGTTTTAGGGGAACAACCGAAACTCGAATGGATCTGATCCGTTTTAGGTGTTTTCGGATCAATTGTCTTTTCTATTTGAATGGTAAGTAAAACAATGAGCTTGTGATGATTTTGTTTGACTACGGATGATAAATTCGAACCGACTCCAAATGCCGTTGGGAACTTGTTTCAACACCCCTTGTCGAGGTACAAGAAAATCACTATTAACGTTCAGAGGCAGACACAGTCCTTGCCTTCCTTCTCCATCCATACCCACCGCCACGAGAAGCTCTTTGTGCTATGACTCAAGCTCGGCTCATTCTCTCTCACCAATTCTGTTTGGCAGTGATTTTTTAGAAGCTAGGGCTAATTCATTGATGGGGAAGGATGATATGACAAGGCTAGGTGGGCTCTAGTGAAGCACGACAACCAGATGATCTATAGTCCAAATAGAAGGGCCAGTCCTACAAGAACCACAGCAAGGACGCCCCTCGAGTCGGTCATCGACGTCAGCAACATCGATGCCATTATTGAGCAGGGCGAGGAGGCCGAGCTCCTCATCCTTGTCGATCGCTCCCGCCCTGACGTGCCTATCAAACTATATGCCCTTGGCTTGAGTTTGTTGGACAGCCGCTATGCTTGAGGAGGAGTTGGATACTCTTGCAATCAACAAAACATGGGAACTTGTTCCCCATCATCCTTTGATGAATGTGGTCGGATGTAAATGAGTGTACAACGAAAAACTACATGCAAATGGTTCACTTGACCGATTGAAAGCCCAACTTGTCTCAAGAGGACAGCGTTGACTTCATAGATACTCGTAGTTCGGTAGTCAAACAAGCCACAATTCGCATTATCATATCTGTTGCTACTGCTCATAATTGGGAAATTCGTCAATTAGATGTCAAGAACAGCTTCCTACATGGCGATCTCGATGTTCCTGTCTATATGGAACAGCCACCGGGTTTCCGTGATTCACTTTGTCCTGACCATGTCTGCTTACTCCGGTGTGCACTATATGGCCCTAAACAAGCTCTCAGGGCATGGTTTGACAAGTTCAATAATTTTCTTTTCGAGTATGGATTCTTTTGTAACACTTCCAATCCATCACTATTTGTTTATTGTCATCGTGATCATATTATCATTTTATTGCTCTACATGCATGATAAAGTCCTCACTGGTGATTCCCCGAAATTATGGAACCATCTTGTGCAAACACTTGGTCAAGTGTTTTTCATGAATGACCTTGGCGCTCTTATTATTTCTTGGGCATTGAAGTCAATCGCTCTATTGATGAACTCTTTCTCTCACAACAAAAATATGCCTTGGATCTTTTGAGTTGAGCATCAATGGCGCAATGTAAGCCGATTGCTACTCCAATAGCTACGGAGCAACCACCACTCAAACATGGTGATAAGCCCTACACTGATTCATCCCATTTTCGAAGCATTATAAGCGCCCTTTAGTACATTACTCTCACTCATCCTGATCTCTCGCTTACGGTCAACATTGTTTGCCAACATAGGCATGCCCCAGCTATTGCTCACTATCAAATGGTAAAACTTATTTTGCGATATGTTCACAGTACTTTACACCTTGGGCTTCGCATTTTGTCTCGTAGTTCTCTCCATTTATTTGGCTTTATCGATGTAGACTAGGCTAGGTGCAAACTCATCCGATGTTCTACCATTACTTATTGTAGTTTTCTCAGCTCAACTTGTATTTATGGTGTGCCAAGAAACAAACTTACTGTGGCCAGCTCCAAAGCTGAAGCCGGACATCTAGCTCTTGCTTCCGCAGCTATTAAACTTACTTAGATTTTATACATACCGTGTGACATTAGAATCTACCAACATCAACCTTCGTTACTTTTCTCGAACAACATGTTAGCATTACATCTCACAACTAATCTAGTTTTTCATGCTCAGACAAAGCACATTGAGATCGATTATCATTTTGTTCAGGAAGATGTTGTTCTTGGTTCTATTGTAACTTGCTATGTTTTGTCTTCCTCATGATATTTTCACTAAACCATTGACTCGAGATAGGTTTGTCGGTTTACGAATCAAACGCAATCTCTGGTCCTTCTCATTAAACAGTTTGAAGGGAAGTATTGAATTAATAAATCAAAAAGCAAACAATCAGGATGGTTACAGTGTAAAATCTTCTATAAATTATCATGAAGATAACACATCAAGCAGAGTATTCACGAGTTGATGATTTGCAGATCGGGAGAAGAATAGCAGAAATGTCAAAAGTTATGTACAACACTCACTTTAGTGCCAAAAGTTTCTTTTGGATCAATTCAGTGCCAAAATTTTTGACAAACGATCATTTCAGTACCAATTCCAATTTTTTTGGCTAGAAATCTAACATGGCCTTTTTTTATTAGTTTCTTAAGCCGACGTGGCTCGCCGGAGAGTCCAATCAGCATCTAATCCCTAAAACGACGCCGTTTAGTACTTTTCCCCAAATAAGAACCTAAATCCCCAAATTGAAAGAGAATCCCCCAATTTGCAACCCTAATAGGCTATTGAAACCTTATTTAGATTCACCTCGAAAGTTATGAGCTCAATCTTGCAAATGGAGAGCAGCAATGACTCAAATTTGTTTCAACGAAGCGAACAAGAGGGTGAATGTTACTGTTTTTTAGGGTACCGAGTCCAAAAAGAACATCTTGGACTCGGTTGAATTTCGAAAGAAGATTTAATGGTTGCACCAGGTATAAAGAAGGTTCGAAGTGCAAATATTTCAAATGGGTTGATGCGAAATTCTCCGGTCGAGCGACAAAGGTGAACTTAGAGCTACTTGAAAGACGCAATCAACCTCCACCTACATTAATGGACGAATTGGAGGATGTCGACTCAATGCAAGCTGAAATGAAGGCTTTAGCATCTTTGGCCAACCATTTGAAGAAGGAAGTTTCAAGGATGAAAATTGAAAGGAAGTGTTATCGAGCATTGATTGTGTTGTTCTACCGTGTAGCATATTTTATGGTCAAATGTAAAGCAAGTGATGAGAAGAAATTTCTTAGTCTACCATAGTTGAAAATGAGTGGATTATGTACTTGTATTGAGTAATTTGTAAGTATAGTTGTATTATGCTATTTTTGTATGGAACAAAAATTTGTCGCAATCTATGGTGGAAATGGAAAGTTGAAATTTATTGGTTGTGAGCACTTATAAGTTCTCTTGCTTAGTTGTATATTCTCAATTTTGATTTGCTTAGTTTTGCTTGAGATGTTTGGATTGCTGTAATGGTTTGCTGGTAATGGGATGCTGATTTGCTGCAATTGTTGCTGCAAACACTTGTCAAAT